CCCCGAGTCGGTGGAGGTTCATCCAGAGGAGGACACCTCCCAGCCCCCAGTGGAGGTTCATCCAGGGAGGACACCTCCCAGCCCCCGAGTCGGTGGAGGTCATCCAGAGGAGGACACTTCCCAGCCCCCCGAGTCGGTGGAGGTTCATCCAGAGGAGGACACTCCCAGCCCCCGAGTCGGTGGAAGGTTCATCCAGAGGAGGACACCTCCAGCCGACGGTGGAGGTTCATCAGAGAGGACACCTCCAGCCCCGAGTCGGTGGAGGTTTCATCCAGAGGAGGACACTTCCCAGCCCGAGTCGTGGAGGTTCAAGGAGGACACCTCCAGCCCCCCCGAGTCGGGGTTCATCACAGAGGAGACACCAGCCCCGAGTCGGTGGAGGTTCATCCAGAGGAGGACACTCACCCCGAGTCGGGGAGGTTCATCCAGAGGAGGTACACTTCCAGCAGCCCCGAGTCGGTGGAGGTTCATCCAGAGGAGGACACTTCCGCCCGAGTCGGTGGAGGTTCATCCAGAGGAGGACACTTCCCACCCCCGAGTGGTGGAGTTATCCAGAGAGGAACTTCCCAGCCCCCCGAGTCGGTGGAGGTTCATCAGAGGAGGAACCTCCAGCCCGAAACGGTGGAGGTTTCATCCAGAGGAGGACACTTCCCAGCCCCCGGTGGAGGTTCATCCCTTCAGCCGAGTCGGTGGAGTCATCCAGAGAGGACACCTCCAGCCCCCGAGTCGGTGGAGGTTCATCCAAGAGGGAGGACCCCAGCCGGAAACGGTGGAGGTTCATCCAGAGGAGGACATTCCAGCCCCCCGAGTCGGTGGAGGTTTCATCCAGAGGAGGACCTTCCAGCCCGAGTCGGTGGAGGTTCATCGAGGAGGATACTTCCCAGCCCCGAGTCGTGAGGTTCATCAGAGGAGGACACTCAAACGGTAGGATCAGAGGTACCTCAGCCCCCGAAGGTGGAGGTTCATCAGAGGAAGGACACTTCAGCCCCCGAGTCGTGGAGGTTCATCCGAGGAGACACCTCCCAGCCCCGGTGGAGGTTCATCCGAGGAGGACACTTCCAGCCCCCGAAGGTGAGTTTCATCAGAGGAGGACACTTCCAGCCCCGAAACGGTGGAGGTTCATCCAGAGGAGGACCTCCCAGCCCGAGTCGTGGAGGTTCATCCAGGGAGGACACTTCCCAGCCCCCGAGTCGGTGGAGGTTCATCCAGAGGAGGTTCCCAGCCCCCGAGTCGGTGGAGGTTTCATCCAGAGGAGGACACTTCAGCCGAGCAGGTGGAGGTTCATGCAGAGAGAGGACCTCCCAGCCCCGAAACGGTGGAGGTTCATCCCCAGAGAGGACACTTAACAGCCCGAGTCGGTGGAGTTCATCCAGAGGACCCCGCCCCCGAGTCGGTGGAGGTTCATCCAGAGGAGGACACTTCCCAGCCCCCCGAGCGGTGGAGGTTCATCCAGAGACACTCCCAGCCCGAAACGGTGAGGTTCATCCAGAGGAGGACACCCCCGAGTCCTCCAGCCCCGAAACGGTGGAGGTTCATCAGTAGAGGAGGAGGTTCATCAGAGGAGGACCCATCCCGCAAAACCCCATCGGTGGAGGTCAATCCCAGAGGAGGACACCTCCCAGCCCCCCGAGTCGGTGAGGTTCATCCGAGAGAGGACACTTCCCAGCCCCCCGAGGTTCCCAGAGGAGGAAGGGTATCATCCAGAGAGACACATTCCAGCCCCCGATCGTGGAGGTTCATCCAGAGGAGACACCTCCAGCCCCGAGTCGGTGGAGGTTCATCCAGAGGAGACACCCTCCCAGCCCCGAAACGGTGGAGGTTCATCCAGAGGAGGACACCCCAGCCGGTGGAGGTTCATCAGAGGCAGCCCGAACGGTGGAGGTTCATCAGAGGAGGACACTTCCCAGCCCCCCGAGTCGGTGAGGTTCATCCAGAGGAGGACACTTCCCAGCCCCCGAACGGTGGAGGTTCATCCAGAGGAGACCTCCCAGCCCGAGTCGGTGGAGGTTCATCCAGAGGAGGACACTTCCCAGCCCCCGAGTCGAGGTTCATCCAGAGGAGGACACCCAGCCCCCCGAGTCGGTGGAGGTTCATCCAGAGGAGGACACCTCCCAGCCCCCGAGTCGGTGGAGGTTCATCCAGAGGAACACTCCCAGCCCGAGTCGGTGGAGGTTCATCCAGAGGAGGACACTCCCAGCCTCGGTGGAGGTTCATCCAGAGGAGGACACTTCCCCCCCCGAGTCGGTGGAGGTTCATCAGAGGAGGACCTCCAGCCCCGAGGTGGAGTTCATCCAGAGGAGGACACCTCCAGCCCCCGAGTCGGTGGAGGTTCATCCAGAGGAGGACACTTCCCAGCCCCCGAGTCGGTGGAGGTTCATCCAGAGGAGGACACTCCCAGCCCCCCGAGTCGTGGAGGTTTCATCCAGAGGAGGACACTCCAGCCCCCCGAAGTCGGTGGAGGTTCATCCAGAGGAGGACACCCAGCCCCCGAGTCGGTGGAGTTCATCAGAGGAGGACACTCCCAGCCCCCCGAGTCGGTGGAGGTTCATCCAGAGGAGGACACTCCCAGCCCGAGCGGTGGAGGTTCATCCAGAGGAGGACACTTCCAGCCCCCAACGGTGGAGGTTCATCCAGAGGAGACCTCCCAGCCCGAAACGGTGGAGGTTCATCCAGAGGAGGACACTTCCCAGCCCCGAGTCGGTGGAGGTTCATCCAGAGGAGGACACCTCCCAGCCCCCGAGTCGGTGGAGGTTCATCCAAAGGAGGAGTCGGTGGAGGTTCATCCAGAGGGGACACTCCAGCCCCCCGAGTCGGTGGAGGTTCATCCAGAGGAGGACACTCCAGCCCGAGTCGGTGGAGGTTCATCCAGAGGAGGACACTTCCCAGGAGTCGGTGGAGGTTCATCCAGAGGAGGACACTTCCCAGCCCCCCGAGTCGGTGGAGGTTCATCCAGAGGAGGACACTTCCCAGCCCGAAACGGTGGAGGTTCATCCAGAGGAGGACACTTCCCAGCCCCCCGAGTCGGTGGAGGTTCATCCAGAGGAGGACACTTCCAGCCCCCGAGTCGGTGGAGGTTCAATCCAGAGGAGGAACTTCCCAGCCCCCGAGTCCGGTGGAGGTTCATCCAGAGGAGGACACCCTCCCAGCCCCGGTGGAGGTTCATCCAGAGGAAGGACACTCCCAGCTCATCCAGAGGAGGACACCTCCCAGCCCCCGAGTCGGTGGAGGTTCATCCAGAGGAGGACACTTCCCAGCCCCCCGACGTGGAGGTTCATCGCAGAGGAGGACACCTCCCAGCCCCCGAGTCGGTGGAGGTTCATCAGAGGAGGACACTTCCCAGCCCCCGAAACGGTGGAGGTTCATCCAGAGGAGGACACTCCAGCCCCCCGAGTCGGTTCATCCAGAGGAGGTCCAGCCCCCCGAGTCGGTGGAGTTCATCCAGAGGAGGACACTCCCAGCCCCCGAGTCGGTGGAGGTTCATCCAGAGGAGGACACTCCCAGCCCCCCGAGTCGGTGGAGGTTCATCCAGAGGAGGACACCTCCCAGCCCCCCGAGTCGGTGGAGGTTCATCCAGAGGAGGACACTTCCCAGCCCCCGAGTCGGTGGAGGTTCATCCAGAGGAGGACACTTCCCAGCCCCGAGTCGGTGGAGGTTCATCCAGAGGAGGACACCTCCCAGCCCCCGAGTCGGTGGAGTTTCATCCAGAGTCCAGCCCCCGAGGAGGTTCACCAGAGGAGGACACTTCCCAGCCCCCCGAGTCGGTGGAGGTTCATCCAGAGGAGGACACTCCAGCCCCCGAGTGGAGGTTCATCCAGAGGAGGACACTTCCCAGCCCCCCGAGTCGGTGGAGGTTCATCCAGAGGAGGACACTTCCCAGCCCCCGAGTCGGTGGAGGTTCATCCAGAGGAGGACACCTCCCAGCCCCCCCGTGGAGGTTCATCCAGAGGAGGACACTTCCCAGCCCCCGAGTCGGTGGAGGTTCATCCAGAGGAGGACACTTCCAGCCCCCCGAGTCGGTGGAGGTTCATCCAGAGGAGGACACTTCCCAGCCCCCGAGTCGGTGGAGGTTCATCCAGAGGAGGACACCTCCCAGCCCCCGAGTCGGTGGAGGTTCATCCAGAGGAGGACACTTCCCAGCCCCCCGAGTCGGTGGAGGTTCATCAGAGGACACCTCCAGCCCCCCGAGTCGTGGAGGTTCATCCAGAGGAGGACACCTCCCAGCCCCCCGAGTCGGTGGAGGTTCATCAGAGGAGGACACCTCCCAGCCCGAAACGGTGGAGGTTCATCCAGAGGAGGACACTTCCCAGCCCCCGAGTCGGTGGAGGTTCATCCAGAGGAGGACACCTCCCAGCCCGAAACGGTGGAGGTTCATCCGGAGGAGGACACCTCCCAGCCCGAGTCGGTGGAGGTTCACCCGAAGGCCACTTCCCGTCCCAAGGTCGAGGGGCCATGGCGCATCGCTGAGAGGGTCGCGTTGGACCTAAAAGGGCGAGTCCGCTCTAGGGCGAAGGCGCCTCAGCCCACCCCAGTCCCCGACCCTTCTGCCGAGGTTCGCCAGGTGGCGCCGTGGAGGACCATCACCTTGTCCCTCCATTTCAGCCCGCGGGAACTTTCCGCCGCCGCGGGGCCGGGCTTGAGCCACGTCCGGCTGGTCAAGGAACGGTTCCCCGTGCGGATCCAGGTCCCCAGGCGGAGGGGCGAGCCGCTCGTGGACCAGGGGCCCCGCGAGGCCACGGAGAGCGCCGCCCACTTCTTATGGAAGTTCGCGGCTGTGTGTGTGTGTGTGTGTGTGTGTGTGTGTGGTGTTTGTGTGTATGTATTTATATGTATGTATATATATATGTGAATATATATTTATATATTCATAGATAAATGTGTGTATATATATATATATATATATATATATATATATATATATATATATATATATATATATATATATATATATATATAGTATATATACACACACACACACACACACACACACACCACAC